TCAGAGGTATAAGGCTGTTAATTATTTGTGGGTTGCTTTTCTCTAATTTTGAATTTTTCCAACATCAAATTGGAAATTTTTCTAAATATGATAGTCTGGGAGGCCAGGAATGTATCTCAGCAGCACAGCACCTGCTGTCAAGTGTGAAGCCCTGAGTTTGCGTCCCAAAAAAAAAAAAAAAAAAGGAAGTTTGGGAAAATCTGTCTTGGTAAATCCAGGTCAGAGGTATAAGGCTGTTAATTATTTGTGGGTTGCTTTTCTCTAATTTTGAATTTTTCCAACATCAAATTGGAAATTTTTCTAAATATGATAGTAAAATATAAAGTAAACTCATAAAAATGGTAGACAGGGCCAGGGATTTAGCTCTGGGTTCTGCCGCCTGCCTCGAAAGCTCAAGGTCCCAAGTTCGATCCCCAGTACCAAAAAAACAAAAACGAAAATGGTAGATAGTATTTGCAAAATGTGTGATACGGGCAGATTTCCATAATGTGTAAACTAGGGCAGGGCACAGTGGTACATGCCTATAAACACAGCTACATGGGAGGTGGAGAGAGAAGGACCACAAGTTCAAAGCTTATTTGGGCAACTTAGCAAGACCCTGTCTCAAATAAAATGAAAAAAGGGCTGGAGTCTAGCTCAGGGGGCCCTGGATTCAACCCCCGGTACTGTAAAAAATTAATCCAGTAGAACAACAGACAACAGGATGAACAGGTTATGGTCACCATCTGTGGGTGGGTTTAAGCCACATTTATGTGAATAAATGTCAAGATGCTATATATGTGGCATTTATAATATGTGTATGTGTATCCTCTCCCGCAGTGCTCTTGTACAGAGGCTGGAACCCAGGGCCAAAACAATGCTATATCCATAGCCTCTTTTTTTTTTTTTTGGTACTGGGAATTGAACTCTGGACCTTGCGCTTGCAAGGCAGGCACCAGAACCACTGAGCTAAATCCCCGGCCCTATAACCTCTTTTTTTTTGAGACAGGGTTGCTGGCCTCAGATTTATAGACCTCCTGCCTCAGTCTCTCATGTATCTGGGCAAATAACAAAATAATAACAGTAACATAATATCAAGTAACTAGGATTACAGGTATGTGCTAACCAGGTTTAAGATACCAAATTTTTTGTGTGTGTTTGGTTTTTTTTTGTTACTGGGGATCAAACATGGGACCTTGCACTTGCAAGGCAGGTGCCAGAACCACTTGAGCTAAATCCCCAGCCAAAGATACCAAATTTTAACAGACTGACAAAGCTCAAAAAGATTTGTATTGGGCATGATGGCACATGGCTGCAATCCCAATATTTGGGAAGCTGGGGCAGGAAGATCTCCTTGAGTTCAAGGTCAGCCTAAACTACATAGTGAGACCTAAAAACTTTTAAAAAGATTTGTACTACCCATCTTGTGGGTTTAAGGAGTATACTTGTGTATTACTATGTCTGAGGCTGGGTATTAATAAATAAAAGAGGTGAATTCAGCTCAAGGCTCAGTGCATAAAGGGGCATGGCGCTGGTATCAGATGGCTGAGAACTTTGCGGTGGCTGGCAGTGGTGGAGCATATGCAAGACAGAGAAAGCAAACACATGCCAGAGCCTGAGCCTGTTCGGGCTGGGAGTCAGCCACTCACCACAGCGTGCTCTCAGGGCTGCTGCCTCGAGAACCCAGGACACAGCCTCTGTCCCGTCTGAGGACTTGCTCCGCCTCCCAGCATGGGACACCGAAGACCAAGCTTCCGGTCTGGGCATCTTGGGGCCACACTGAGCCATATTCAACTTAGCAAGGAGATTGGCCCCAGGGTGAGGCATTGGGCATCGGGGTGTTAATGTTTGGGCATAAATTGGTGTAACCTCACTGGATGGAGAGAAGGGTTAAAACTAAATCCACGCCCTTCTACTTCTAGGGCTTTATCCTAAATGTACACCTGGAAAAGTGAGCAAAGAAATGTATAAGGATATTTGTTAGAGAATTGTTTGTAAATAGCAAAAGACTGGTGGCAGTTTAAATATCCATTAAGGGAGACAGGTCAGCCAGGCATGGTGGTGCACCACTGTAGTCACTCCTGTAATCGTAGGCAGGAGAATCACAAGTTCAAGACCAGCCTGGGCAGCTTAGTATGACTGTGTCAAAAGAAAAACAATTTTTAAAGGCTGGGGACGTAGCTGAGTGGTGTGTCACTTGCCTAGCATGGGGGAGCATCTGGTTCAATCCTCAGTACTGCAAAACAAAAACAGGAGATGGCACATCCATGCCATGCACAGCCATTCTGTGCCACTGTACCCAGGAGAGGCCAGATCTGAAGTACTGTGTAGATAAGGCAAATCTCTAAGCCTTTTGTTTTGTTTTGTTTTGTTCTGTTGCTACTGGGGATCAAACTCAGGACCTTGCACTTATGAGGCAGGCGTGGTGCCACTGAGCTAAATTGCCAGCCCCTCTAGAAGGTGTTCATTAAATAACTAAAGCAAAGGTGCTAAACAATTTATAATGTGGCAGAATTTGCTTTTTTCAAAAGAAGACCTTGCTTAAGTGGTTGTGGTCACCTTGATGACATTCATAAGTTGAACGTTTATGAATTGTGTATTTTTCTGGATATATAACACATAAGGCTTATCAGAAAATCTAAGAGGGAGGAAGGAGACATGTTTCTATATGCAGAAAGTGTTTGGGAGGGACATACAGACTTGTTCTTAGCTGCAAGTGGGGAGGACATGGGTATGGAGAGGGGAAAGGGTTTTCAATGTGTCTGTTTTTCTACAGATTTTGTATTGAAGAAGGTAAGACATCTTTGAAAATTTTGTAATGCCATAGGAAACAAATGAAAGCAGCAGGATACAGATTTGTGGGAGGATTCTAGCTGTGTATACATATATATATATATATATATATATCTTTAACATGTTTATAAAAAGAACAGGAGGAAATAGAGTTAGATTTAACAGATTTCTCTTAAAAGAATGAACCTATGAATTGTCTCTACATTTTTGTATTTTCCAAGTTTTCTATGGTGAGTTTATAATATTTTTCTGATAGATGAAACTATGACTAACTCTTTTCTTAATGCTTGATATTCTTTTGTTATGTGAGATTGTTCTTTACCACCATCTCTTTTCTCACCTTTCTTCTCTTCCAAAACAAAATTCCACAGATACTGTTTATTGTTTTGTTATCCATCAGTGTTGAAATAACAAAGGGATTTGAGGATGTGAAGTGGAGCACAGGCCACAGCATCCTAGTCAAAGAAGGCACCACTGTGCTGTGCCGGGGACCCTTTGGGGACAGGAAGTGTGCAGTGTGCTTACCTTCCACCATGCCTGCCTCTTCCAGCTGTGGCCCCGCTATGCGCAGCTATGCTCTCTGCAGGAAGCTGTCCTAGGTCATCTTGGACAGTATCTCATGATCCTCTTTCTGCTCCTTTTTATCTTTTTAAAGAATATCTGCACAAAGACTTGCTCACCTGAATAAGTGCTTGATGAACTTTAAGCTAGGAAATTTCAGCTATCAGAAAACCCCTCTGAAATTGGGAGAGCTCCAAGGAAATCACTTCACTGTAGTTCTCAGGTAAAGAATTACAAGTGGGAATGCAGAACCTGAGGATGGCTGGCCAGATCGCCTGGTAATGAGTTACTAATCAGGTGCAGGTTAGCAGGAAGGCAGAGCAGGGCCAAAAAAGCTGGGAGGGCAAATACTACTGTAGTTTGCACTGACAGGCAATCCCTGCCCCACCAAAGACCAGAAAAACACCGGCTTCAAATACTGTGTTAAGAGACAGAATGCCTGTTGATTATATGAGCCGCCTGAAGTAGGCCAACTCATAGGAAGTGGAGCGGAGGTTATTGGGGTCAGGGAGCAACGGGTGTAGAGTTTAAGTTTGAGAAGTTGAAAAAGTTCAGGAAGTAGATAGTAGTGAACGTTGCACAACATTTCGAATATACTTACTGCCCCTGGATTATATACTTAAAAGTGGCTGAAATGGGGCTGGGGATTTAGCTCAGTGGTTTTGCTGCCTGCTGTGCAAGTGCAAGGACCCAAGTTTGATCCCCAGTACCAAAAAAAAAAAAGTGGCTGAAATGGTGGGTTTATTAAAGTGTAACAATGAACAAAGAGCCCTCAGGAGGTGGAGAGAAAGCTTCAAAGGAGAGGCATGGAAGCCATGCCATAGTCCCTTGGGATGCACATCCCCAAATATGTTTGGCTGTAATTTTTTTTCCTCTGGATAATTTGGATGCCTGCAGAAATATAACAGGAACTGATGACCAAGTCCAACAAGCTATGAACTCTCTCAAGGAGATTGGATTTATTAACTACTATGGAATGCAAAGATTTGGAACAACAGCTGTCCCTACATACCAAGTCGGAAGGTTAGTATTTAATTTCATAAAGTATTTCTAGATTCTTGTTCAGGACAAGTGAACCACTGATCCATAGCTTCTTAATTTTCGTTCTATTTTAAGATAATCCATGTACAAGGTAGAAATCAAGAGTTCAAAAGGGCATGACCTAAACAGGAAGCTTTTCTCCCACCGTTGGTAACCCCTCTCGGGTTTTGCTTTTATTTTTAACAGATAAGTCTGGGCTGAGGAACTGGGTAACTCCGACCCAGAGTAGCTAGGTGGAGACAGTGTGCATTATGGTCTGCTAACAAATGATTCCCAGTTATTAAACTTGGATCTTTCCTTCCTCTACACTTTCAAGAAAATGGTTGAGGATAGAATCAGTGAAGTAAATTTAATTTCAGTACTCTGATTCACTTTCAGGTGTAAGAGGCCCCTCTAGGGTAAAGTGGGTTGGTAGTCCCAAGGATCAGTACCTAAATCATAAAGCCCAACAGAGACTGTGTTCTGGGAGACGTTCCTGTGAGTTAGAAAGTTGGTAGCTACAGGTTTGACACAGTCCTTTCCTGTGGTTCAAGCCTTCATTTTAGCAAGGTGGAAATAAGGCTCAGGGAAGTCTATCCAAGCTCACTAGTTGATCAGCTAGAGTTCTGGTAGTAAAGTCTCACCGACGTCCGGTTCATTTTCTTCAGCAGCTAACTCTGAACTTGAATTTACTTTTATGATCCTAGAAACACAAAATGGTAAATTCTGTCATGTGTTTTCTCTACCTCTTGAAAATAGTGCTGTGAAGGATAAAAGTCCAGGCAGGAAACCAGTCTTGAGTTCTCAGCCTTAAATTACTCAAATTAATAAAGATATATTACTTAAATTGAAATAATACCTCACAAGGTGGTGAAAGAGAAGTGAGATTGGGGCTTATGCAGTGCCTGTTTCTATGCCTAGTGTATAGTAAGTGTTCAAATAAATGGAAAGTAATGTAAAGTCAAAGCAGTGTACACCTAATAGTCCTACCTGCTCTAGAAGCCAAGGCAAGAGGATCGCTTGAGCCAAGGAGTTTTGTGCCACACTGAGCAACATAGACCCTGTCTCTTAAATTCTAAATAAATAAATACATAAAGTGTATTAGCCAAAGGAAAAAAGTTGAGAAGAAAATACCTATAGTAACTAATAAGAGTAGAAAAATACCGGCCGGGGATTTAGCTCAGTGGTTCTGCCGCCTGCCTTGCAAGCGCAAGGACCCAAGTTTGATCCCCCGTACCAAAAAAACAATTAAAGTTCCATTTAAAAAAAAAAAAAAGACAAACACATTTTCATCCATTCTAATGATAAGAACACATGAATAAAAATAGTAAAGAAGCTAATTGTTTCATGGGACAGAACATTTAAGGGAGGGTTATATCAACCTGCACATTTATAAGTAATTTGGCAGAAGAATAGCAGTAATGTCCTATAATTTTTGCACTCCAAAGATAATTGATATAGGGTAGGCATTGTGATGCATATCTGTAATCCCAGCTATTTTGGAGGCTGAGGCAGGAGAATCACAAGTTCAGAGCAGGCCTGAGCAATATATTGAGACCCTGTCTCAAAGTAAAATTTAAAAAGGCCTAGGGGTATAGCTTAGTGGCAGAGCCTTTGCCTGGCATTTGTCAGGCCCTGAGTTCCATCCCAAGTACCACCAAAAAAAAAAAGCTAATGATGTAAGTAGCTAATTAAAATGGTTCTACATTTTTTTTTTCCAGGAACATAAGTTATATAACTTGCCCAAAGGTCAGTAGAGTCAGTTCAAAATGCAAAACATACATTCCCAGAACATAATATTTCCTATCTTCGAGGAAGTCGACTTAGTCACTATAGGACCTCCTGAGGGAAAGAACAAAAGTCTCAGTTTATAGTTTAAAGAAGACTTGGGCATAGTGGTGTCCACCTGTAATCCCAGCAGTCTGGAAGGCTGAGGCAAGAGGATCACAAGTTCAAGTCTAGACTGGGCAACTTAGGGACTTTGACCCTCTTTAAAAGAAAAAGATGATGGGCTGGAGGATGTAGCTCAGACCCTGGGTTCAGTCCCCATTACGGCAAAATAAAAGGAAAAATAACTTGAGTGGAAAATAAAGATCTCTCACACTCAACAACAAAAATACAACCTATTCTAAACCTGGGCACAGAATATAGATAAATGGCCAGAAAACGCACAAAGAGATGCTCAGCATTACAGATGATTGCAGAAGTGCAAGTCCACCACAGTGAGAGGCTGCCCTGTGCCCACTGGGGTGGCTAAAGTTACAAAACAGGTGTTGGCGAAGATCAGGAGAATCTGGAACTTGTAGCGGAGGAATGTGAGATAGTGCAGCTGTTTTAGCAAACAACCTAGTAGTCCTTAAAAGGATAGGTATGGAGTTACCACTTGACCTAGAAATTGCATTCCTAGCTATGTACTGAAAGTACCAAAAATGTTACATTGACACAGAAACTCACACTCAGCATCTAAAAAATAGAAACAGCCCAAGCCTGTCACCTAATGAATGGATAAACAGAATGTGGTATACACAGGAAGGAATGACATTCCCTTTGTGTGTAAAAGCATTAAGTGAAGGAAGCCAATCAGAAAAGCCTACACAGTATATGATTCATGGGGATGAAATGTCCAAATTAGGCAAGTCTTTAGAAACAGGGCCATGGCAGGGCCAATAGTGTGTAGCTGATAATGGGATAGGGTATTCTCCTGGTATAGTGGCACATACCTGTAATCCCAGCTAATTGGGAAACTGAAGCAGGAGGATGGCAAGTTCAAAAATTCTAGAGCCAGGTGTGATGGCACACACTTGTAATCCCTGCATTCAGGAGACTGAGGCAGGAGGGTCACAAGTTTTAGACTCGCCTGGGCTACATGAGATGTCTCAAACCAAAACATTTGTAAAATTGTGTGAGTTTTGTGTGACAGTTTCGCCATGCATGGTGGTGTATGCCTGTAATCCCATCACTCAGGAGGCTGAGGCAGGAGCATCGCCGTGAGTTCGAGGCCAGGCCGGGGCTACATAGTGAGTTCAGGCCCAGCCTAAACTACATAGTGAGACCCTGTCTTGAAATAAAACAAACCGATAAAATTGCATGGCAATTTTAGGACAGCTCTGTGAACATACCAAAAGCCATTGAATTGTATACTTAAATGGGAGAATATATGGTATGTAAAGTATATCTCAAAAATATTTTAAGAAAAGGCAGAATAAATCCTCATGTACCTGGTTAAATGATTTTTCAACAAGGATGAAAGAAGCTTTTCAAATAGTACTGGGAAAACTGAATCCTACATATAAAAAACTGAAGTTGACCCTTAAACCATATATAAAAATTACCTCAAAATGGATCAAAGAGCTAAACATAAAGCTACAAATATTAACACTCTTAGAAGAAAGCATAGGGAAGAACTTCATGATTTTAGCTTTGCTTGTAGTTTCCTGGCTGTGACACCAAATACACAGGCATAAAAACAGAAGAAAACATAGCTAAGTTGGACTTGTCAAAGTTATAAACATTTGTGTGCCAAAGGACATTGTCAGCAGAATGAGAAGGTAACCCAGAGTATATTAAGATGTTTGCAAACACTCCTGTAATCCCAGTTACTCAGGAGGCTGAGGCAGGAGGATTGAAAGTTCAAGGCCAGCCTGGGCAATTTAGTTTTTGTTTCTGTTTTTTTGTGAATCATATGTTTGATAAGAGACTCATATCTAGAATATGAAAAGAACTACAAATTCAGCAACAGCAAAAAAAAAAATGTGGAACTGGGCAAAGGACTTGAGTAGACATTTCTCCAAAGATTCGCGAATGGCCAAGTAACACATGAAAAGATGTGCACCACCACTAGGCCTTAGGGAGGTGTGGTATTGTCAAGTACGTGTCAGTGAAGAGGTGAGGACGTGATGCTGTTGGAGCCCTTGTGCACAGCCTGTGGGGATGTAAAATGCCGCAGCCATTACGGAAGATAGCATAGTAGCTCCCCAGAAAACTAAACAAAGCAATTAATGTTATGGTAATGTGACCCAGAATTCCACTACTGGGTAAACACCCCAAAGAACAGAAAGCAGGAACAAACTCAGATATTTGTGTGCTTATGTTCATGCTGTTATTATGTGAATAATATCATTCACAGTAAGCAAAAGGTAGAACCCATATGCCCACCAACAGATGAGTAAACAATATAGTATATACAGTAGTAGAATATAATTCAGCCTTTAAAGGAAGGAATTTTTAGCTGAATATGGTGGCACACGCCTGTAATCCCAGCACTCTGGAGATAGAGGCAGCAGGATCACCGTGAGTTCAAGGCCAGCCAGAACTACTTAGCCAGACCCTGTTTAAAAACAAAAAGGAATTATTACAGATGCTACGTATGGATACACCTTGAAAACTAACTGAAATCAGCCAGTCACAAAAGGGCAAATAGTGTGCAGCTCCCCTCATATGAGGTTCCAAGAGAAGCTGGTTGTAGAAGGACGAAGGGCTGCTGCCAGAGCTTTCGAGGAGCAGTGAGTAGGGAGTTCTCGTCTGAGGGTGCCAAGTTTCAGTTAGGAAGATAAAAAGTTCTGAAGATGATGGTGCTGATGCTTACACAGCAACACATGGACAAAATCTATGGAACTGAACATTTAAAAGTTGGTAAAATAATGAATTTTATGTATATTTTTACTGTAGTAAGAAGGCGGGAGAAGGGAAGATAAAATAAGAAAAGTACAAAGCCTCTTGCTATGTAGTGTGTCATAGGATGGACGACTGTGAGCCACATATACATATTTCTTATGACACTAGATGCCGAGCCTTCACAGTATATACCAGTGAGAAGTCTGGCAGGTGAGAAGAAAATATACCAGATAGTAGCAGAGTTTTTGTTTCATTTTTGTTTCTTTGAGACAGGGTCTCATTGTATGGTTCAGGCCAGCCTTGAACTTGATTCATGGTTGACCTCAGACTTGTGATGCTTGTGGGTCAGCTTCCCAAGTGCTTGGCAGGGTTTTTGTTTTGTTTTGATTTTTGGTACCGGGGATCTAACTCGGGTCCTTGCGCTTGCGCAGCAGGCCAGCAGGCGGCAGAACCACTGAGCTAAATCCCCGGCCCGCTTGGCAGTTTTTCTGTACAGGTCTAAATGTTTTGGCCTTGTGGCCTTAGAGTACTTTTTGCAGCTCATCAGTTCTGATGTTGCAGTATGAAAACAGCCATGGACAGCGCACAGCTGAATCAGGACAGCTGTTTTCCAATAAATTTGTTTATAAATCAAATGACCAAGATGGGCGTGGTGTAATCCTTTAATCCCAGCACTCAGGAGGCTGAGGCAGGAGGATCACTGCCAGTTTAAGCCCAGCCTGGATTACATAGTTCAAGGCCAGCCTGAGTTACACAGTGAGACCCTATCTCAAGAAACCACCCCCCCCAAAAAAAATGGCTGACCAGATGTGACCTGCAGGCCATGTATCATTTTCCATAGCACAGGACATGTGTTATGTTTTACACAGAATGCTAGGCAGATCTAGACCTGGTGCTGAGTTAGTGCTGCACACCTTAGAGGTGGTGCTAGGCGTCTAGCCAGCTAAATACTGTGTCACCTGAGGAGGAGACTTAAAGACTTGTGTAACATGGCTAGTTCCAGGATGAAGGGTGGCCAACAATAGGAAGTTATTACTATAATCACACTACTGGATTGACGTTATTTCTTTATATCTGTCTCATCACTAGATATCTAATAGCATCTCAGGTAAATTCATGTTCAGAAATATCCCGTGTATTAGCTTAAACATGAAAATTGAAAATTATAATTAAATGGAAAAATAATAGATGGGTATTTCTATATTCTCTTGATAAGGAAGCATGACTTCCAAGACTAAAATTTTTAAAGGAAAAATTTTCAGACTTAATTCTCAAAATATAAATTTTGCATGGTAAAAGATAGTATAGTATAAGGAAAAGTTGCCTATATACATAAAAGGCATGCCAGAGGAGAAAAATACACTGTATTGACATTGTTTTCAGACTTCTTTTTTTTTTTTCCCCCTTTGGTAGCCAGTATCGAACTTGAGTTCTTGAGCTTGCGAGGCAGGCAGTGGAACCACTGAGCTAAATCCCCAGCCCTACATTGTTTTATTTCTTAGAGGTTGGATAACAGAAAAGCTTTCTTATATACTATTTAATTTTTAACAAGAAGGTAGAGGGCCGGGAGTTTAGCTCAGTGGTTTCGCTGCCTGCCGCGCAAGCACAAGGACACGAGTTCAATCCCCAGTACCAAAAAACAAACAAACAAGAAGGTAGAACTTTTTTATAATACCCCAAAATAAAGATACTTCCATTTTGGCAAGAATAATAAAGAAGAATTAATTGTATTTATTCTATTTGCCTAGGTAGGGAGTGTTTAACATACAGAAAATTTTTTGAGCAATTTCAAACAAGTTTTGGCACTTAGGAAGATTTAACTTTGAGCTAGGGAGATGGCTCATTGGTAGAGCGTGTGCCCAACATGCATGAGGCTCTAGGGTCAATCCTCAGCACCACCAAAATAATGAAGACTTTATGTAGCTATTCCATGTATAATAAAGTTCAAATATAACTAGGTAGTGTTTATATTGTTATAGCATTACAAAACTAAAATGGTATCAGTTGTATGAGTAAGCATATCTTTAATTTTATTCTCAATTTTTCTAAAGTTGGTATTTGAAATCAATATCCTAATTTTTCTGCTTACATTTAAGTTTAATATAAAGCTACTACGTTTTGTTGACTTGACAAAGATTTTGGCACATAAGATTCATCTTAATACAAAATTAGTAAAATAAATATTGTTTAATCTTAGAGCTATTCTTCAGAATTCCTGGACAGAAGTCATGGATTTAATACTAAAACCCCGTTCTGGAGGTAAGAATAAAGCTTATGTTAAAAAAAATATTAAGCGCAAGGACTCGAGTTTGATCCCCAGCACCAAAAAAAGAAAAAAGAAAAAATATTGAGGTTGGGTTCAATCTCCAGCATCAAAAAAAAAAAAAAAGAAAGAAAAGGGAAAAAAACAGTGTATGAGGCTGAGGCAGGAATATCATCACGAGTTCGAGGCCAGCATGGGCTATACAGTGAGTACAAGGAGATCCTGTCTCAGAAAGAAAGAGAGAGAAAAGAAACAGTGTATGGCTAAGTAGTCATGGAATTTCTTCCAATAAAAATGTGTGAGTTTCAGGCATGGTGGCACACACCTGAAATCCCAGCACTCAGGACACTGAGGCAGGAGGATCTCCATGAGTTCAAGGCCACCCTGGCCTACATAGTGAGTTCATGGCCAGCCTGAACTACATAGTGAGACCCTGTCTCAAAAAAAAAAAGTGTTAAGTTGAATATACAGTAAATGTTTTAATTTTTAAAATGTATTACAGTAAAAGACACTGTTATGAATCAATCCCCTTCAAAATACTTCCTTCTAGGTTCAAACACACTTATCTCTTTATTCTTGCTGCTCTCTAAAGCAGTTCTACAAGTCTTCACTTGTGAATGTCTTACGAGATATGATAAAAAAAATTCAGTGTGTGCTCTTCCTTCGTGTCATCCAATGGAAAGGTGAGCTCATAGAAATATTAGGATATTGGGCCGGGGATTTAGCTCAGTGGTTTCGCCGCCTGCTGCGCAAGCACAAGGACCAGAGTTCGATCCCCGGTACCAAAAAAAAAAAAAAAATAGAAATATTAGGATATGACTCCTGACTCTTCCCCAAAGTCAAAATGACCATGGAAGGTAAACATTTTTAACCAATTCAGAACATCGAGGGTGCCACTACAGCCCAACTAATAATACTCATAAAAGAAGACTTCCAGAATTGCTTCAAGAAGTGGCAAGAATGATGCGCTAAGTATGTTTGAAGTGAGGGAAAGGATTTTGAGCAGGATTAATGGCAACATGTCTTGTTACTGTAATTTTTTTTTTGAGACACAGTCTTGTTATGTAGTTCAGGCTGGCCTTGAACTCACTATGTAGCCCAACCTGGCCTCAAATTTGGGGCAATCCTCCTGCCTTAGCGTCTCAAACATTGTAATTACAGGCATGTGCCACCACACTCAGGTGTAAATTTTTTATTTTAAAAATCTGTATTTTTTTCCATTGCACTTCATATGTGCAAATTGGGATGGTTAGTTTTAGAATTTTATTTTTACATTAAAATTCTTTTGGGGGGGGGTACCAGGGATTGAACTTAGGACCTTGTGTTTGCTAGGCAGGTGGCAGAACCACTGAGCTAACTCCCCAGCCCTTTTAATTAAAAGTATAGTATATTTTTTTATATTTCTCACAAATTTTGTATATATACTTGAGATTTTTAAATTTATGTCCTGGTTATAATGAGTAAACATCTGAGAAATAAATTCATTTTCCTTTCTTCCTTCACTATTAAATCTATGAATGTATTTGAACCCTTTACATGGTGCTATTTTATTAAAGCATAGTGTAATGGAATATAAAATCCTGGCAAAAACACCTTGAGAAGTTGAGCATAATGGTGTATTACCTATAATCCCAGCTCTCAGAAATACTGAAGCAGATGGGGCCCAGAATTTAGCTCAGTGGTTCAGCAGCCTGCCTTGCAAGCACAAGGACCCGAGTTTGATCCCCGGCACCCAAAAAAACAAAAAGGAGAGAAAGAAATACTGAAGCAGAAAGATTACAAATTCGAAGTCAGCCTGGGATATGTAGCTAGTTCAAGCCCAGCCTGGACTATACAGTGAGACCCTGTCTCAGAAAAAAACTTGAGATTTAGAGTTTAAAAGTTCCTAAATGACCAGGCATAGTGATGCACGGCTCTAATCCCAGCTGCTCCAGAGGCTGCAGCAGGAAGATTGCAACTTCAGGATCTGCCTAGGCAATTTAGCAAGACCCTGTCTCAAAGAAGGCTGGAGATTTAACTCAACAGTAGAACATTTGTCTAGCATTAGCAAGACAGGACTCAATCCCCAGTACCACAAAAAAAATTTTAAAAATAATTTTTACTAATAATTTTCCAGAAAGTACCTCTAAAGCCATATTGTATAAAAGAGATTTAACTCCCACTTTATAAATTGCTGAAATAATTATACTGACTTTGGGTAAGTATTCATCTGCAAGCTAAAAAAAAAAAGATGAATTGTGTAACTTTAAAGAAAATAACCCATTACATCTGACTGTACAATGGCAAAAGAGAAGGAAGTAAAGACTACCAGGCTTTTATCTTCTGTTGAATTAGCTATGCAGACAGTGAAGAGTAAATAGCTCTCACTGTCAGCCTGGGAGCAGGAGCATGTTGGCACAGTCAGACACACACTTCTTTAAACTTGGCCCAGTCCACATCTTTTCACTTTCTTGCAGCTGTTCTCAAGTGAGCAGAACACTGTAGACAACCTTTATAATGTGTTCCCTCTGAAATACGCTATTGTGAAAGAGCATCTGTTGGATAAATTGTTTAATCATAGCTTTTTTCCTCCCCAGCTGAAAAAGGGTACTTGGTTAAATGCAGGGAAGAATGGGCGAAGACCAAAGACCCAACTGCTGCCCTCAAAAAACTGCCTGTCAAAAGGTGTGTGGAGGGGCAGCTGCTTCGAGGACTTTCAAAATATGGAATGAAGAATATAGTCTCTGCATTTGGCATAGTGAGTGCAATTTGTGAAGTCAGGCAATGGTCCAAGGTGGTTTAATGCTTTTTAAACGTTATCTTGGAAGATTTTAGTGAATTTTGAAAGAACAGAAGGTAAATAAGTATCCTTTGGTGATCTCCAAAGGTGTTCTACCCTAGTGATCCTTGTTCAGACCCAAATGGAGATGAGTGGGTAGATGTGGACAACATCAGCACTACTTTTTAACATTGAGGGCAGGAGAGGTTTGGGGGTTTATTTGTTGTTTTTTGTTTTGTTTTGTTTTTTTGTTTGTTTTTTGGTACCGGAGATCAAACTCGGGTCCTTGCGCTTGCGCAGCAGGCGGTGAAACCACTGAGCTAAATCCCTGGCCTTTGGAGACATTTTAATGTGCAAGACAGTCTCCAGGGGAAAATTAAATTGAGTATGTTAGAAATTCAGAATCTGTTGTATAATCATTTCTTGGTCATCGTCCTTTGAACTGTAAACTGCCTTAACAAGAGAGTTGGGGGCTGGGAATTTAGCTCAGTGGTTCCGGCGCCTGCTTCGCAAGCGCAAGGGTCCCAAGTTCAATCCCCAGTACCAAAAACAGAGAAAGAGAGAGAGATTTGGACCGCAATAGTCTGAATAGTTGCCTATTAGTCTGGGTTTATCATGGTGGCCCAAGATTGGTGCTATTTTGGCAAATGTAGCCTCTGCCACTATTTTATATAATAGTCTAGGACATGTTAAAGTTTATCCTTTAAACCTGTCTTAGTTGCTTTTTCCCAGATGTACAAATAAAGCAGGATTCTCCCTGCAAGTAATTAGTCGTCATTAAGGCATTTTAGGTGTTCTCCTTATACAGACTTTATAAACTGCTACCATATTAATCCTTCTAGTTTCTGTCTCTAATATTTAGTGCTCTGTATCAGTGAATGTTTCTACAGGCTATTAAAAAATGAATTTCTAATACAAGGATCACCACTAAACAAGCAAGATGTTGTAGAGTCTACAGTGTTTTATATTCAGAATATTTTTTCTTGCCTTTTTTTCCCTTCTCCTCAGATACCAAGAAATAATCGCTTAATGTATATCCATAGCTATCAAAGCTATGTGTGGAATAATATGGTAAGCAAGAGGATAGAAGACTATGGGCTGAAACCTGTCCCAGGGGACCTTGTTCTCAAAGGAGGTAAAACAGCTCATATCATTGTTCAATCAAATAGGATTTAGGTCTCTGACACCAGTGGCTTTAAAATCCTGCCTACCTACTAAATTAAGAGAGATGTTTAGTAAGCTTGAGAGGGAAGGGCCACTTAAGCTTAGAATGACTAGTTTATATTTGTAATTTTAAAAATCTTTATCTGGTTTGAGGAAGCATCTGACTCATTTTCTCAGTTACCTTGTAGAATAGAATTTGGATGCATGATGGCTATAATCCCTTTCCAGCTTTAACCTGGGCCTACAAATATGTGTATTTCTGGCTTGTTGTCAGCCAGTTTTAAAGTTTCTTTAGGCTAATCCCAGACTAGAGCTAACGGTATGTGCGGCCGTTACAGAATGGGCATTCTGTGTGTGCTGCGCCCAAGACATTCCTAAGACAGCAGTAACATCCCATCCACTATGGCCTGCTGTGTTCCAGGTCTTACACTAACCCCTTTGCCTGTATCCTGCAGTGCTGCTGGCAGATATTCTCTCCATTTTTCATGCAGTTTAGTCACTTGCTCAGTGTACCACAGCTGTTAGGAAAAAAACCTGAAATTCAGAGCCCACTTGTCTGATTCCAAGATCCATGTTCCTAGGTCAGTGACATGCCTGGCTACCATCCCTTAGCTCATACATGTCCTGTTTGTCTGCATTTTTTCTAAAATTTTGTTTTCCTGATGTGATGGTTTTTCCTCGTGCAGTATTGATCACACCAGTATACTTTAATGTCCCAGGTACGTTTCATCCCCTAAATATAGGTTGTTTTTTAAATTGTTTACTCATTTAGCAAAATGCATACATTTATGATGGCTTTCCATAAAGCCTTTCACATTGTCACCTAAGAAGGATGAAGGTGCTGTTGTTTTTTTTTTTTTGAGACAGAGTCTCACTATGTAGTTCAAACTGGCCTTGAACTCACTTTGTAGCCCAGGCTGGCCTCAAACTCGGACCAATCTTTCTGCCTCAGTGAGTGCTGGGCTCACAGGTGTGTGCACCACCACACCTGGCTTAAGGTGCTGATGGGGGGGGGGGTGCCAGGGATTGAACTCAGGACCTTGCGCTTGTGAGGCAGGCAGCCTTGGTTCCATTGAGCTAAATCCCCAGCCCCAAGGTGCTGATTTTTTAAAGTGAATGTTCCCAGAAAATGAGGGTGCAACTGAGTTTTTTTAATCCTCGTTAAGAATTCTATTAAATTTTGATTTTATTTCTTAGAATAGAAAAGACAGATAGGTATCCCAATTTAATTTCCTTCCAAGCTTGAACTCATAAAAATAGTGGCTTTTTCCTTAAGTTACTGTTTGCTTATGGATTTGCAGCCACAGCCACCTATATTGAGGAAGAAGATATTACTAATTACTCCATTCATGATGTGGTGATGCCCTTGCCTGGTTTTGATGTGATCTACCCAAAGCATAAGAGTAAGTCCCTCCACCCAGGGCTTGGGGGGTTGGTCAGAATAGTGAAAACAGGTCTAATGAAGTTAAGCCCTGATAGCAACCTGTAAAGAAAAGAAAAAAATCACTACTCTTGATTTTAAAACCTTATTTCCATCACACTTAAAGAGTTATTTAAATTTCAAACATATGTATGTAAACCGAGGTTGTATATGAAAGTTTCCCAGAGGAGTACATTCAAATGGAGAATTTAGATTAAAAAAGGAGAGCTAGGCCCTAGCCTGTAGTCCCCGCTGTGCTGGATGCTAAGAGGGAGGACTGCTTGGGCTCATGAGTGGGAGACCAGCCTGGGCCCAAGAGGCCAAGAGGGGATAGTAGTTCTAGTAATAGTTGTATTCTCATGGTTGCTGCTTGCATTATTTGAATTTCTAAAATGCACTGATTTAAGATGGGGATGTGGCTCAGTGTTAGAGCACTTGCCTGGTGTACAGAAGGCCTTGGGTTCAGTCTCCAGCACTGCAAAACAAAACACAAAAAATCACTCATTTATATTGAAGACAGGAATGAGTCTGAAAAGAGTCACTGAGAAAGTCCCTGTGGATGGACAATTGTATTTCAACATAGGTTTCCTTAAACTTTTTTTTTTTTTTAATTATAAAAGGGGCCTGGGGATTTAGCTCAGTGGCACCTCGCTGCCTTGCAAGCACAAGGTCCTGAGTTCGATCCCCAGTGCCAAAAATAAACTATAAAAGGTTCATAATGTAGCTCAGGGGTAGAGCACCAGAAAAATAGTATGTGCTCGTATTTAAAAAGTCAGCAAATACACAGAAGCTTTAAAAAGTGAAAAGATGCCAGAGATTGAGCACAGTGGTTCCGCCACCTGCCTCTCAAGTGCAAGGTCCTGAGTTCAATCCCCAGTACAAAAAAAAAAAAAAAGGGGGAAAGTTAAGTTGGGCCTGGTAGCATATGTGCCTGTAGTTCCAGTATCGGTGAGGCTGGGCAGAAGGATCCCAACTTCAAGCCCAGCCTGGGTAATTCAGTGATTTACAAGAGACTGTCTCAGAATTTAAGGAAAAAAACATACTTGAAATGTAGGTCATTGTGAAGACCCTGGGTTCAGTCCCCACCACCACCATCCCACCACCCTAAGTGGGAAATTAGAATTCTCTATTTCCCGTTCCCCAGAAGCTGCTGCGAATTATTTCGGTTGCCCTCATGGGTGCCCCTTGTGCAGGGGGGTAGAGGGTTAAAACTTTGATTCTTCAGGGTCCGGGGATTTAGCTCAGTGGTTCCGCCACCTGCTTCGAAAGTGCAAGGACCCGAGTTTGATCCCCGGTACCAAAAAAAACCCAAAAAAACTGATTCTTCAGAGATTAAAAAAAGAACAGCTTTCACTGTGGCACCAGTTCAGTGGGACTGTCTGAGAGTCTGAGACTGGTTGTGTTTTCCTGTTAAAATATCCTTTCTTGGGGCCGGGGATTTAGCTCAGTGGTTTCGCCTCCTGCTGTGCAAGCGCAAGGACCCAAGTTCGATCCTCGGTACCTAAAAAAAAAAAATATCCATCCTTTCTCTCAAGAGGCCAGAATTTTTTTTGTTTCTTTTGTTTTTGGTTTTTTGAGAAAAGTTCTTGCTATTAGTTCAGGCTGGCCTTGAACTCACTATGTTGTCCAGGCTGGCCTTGAATTTGCAGCAGTCCTCTTACCTAAGCCTCCCAAGTGCTGGGATTATAGGCTTGAGCCACCATGCCCAGTGGCCAGAAATATTTTACTTATCAAAATATATTCCTGGAACTTTTATGAATTACAAAAATGATTATAAGAAACACCCTTCTTAGATAATGTAAATACTCTAGAAGGGCGAGTGGAAATCTCCCATTTATATGTTGATTAGTTCAACCAAATTGCTGTGCTCCTGGAACACAGGCTAACTTCCCTGAGGGAAAGGGTGGGTGTGAGGAGGTGGGAATGTGAGGTGGGATCCAGGACCCAGGAGAGCAGAATCCGGAGCTGTGGGAAGGCACTTGAGACACTAAGGCCAGCTTCCCCAGTGCTGCAGAGACCAGTGCAAAACTGGGAATGCCTTGGCAGATCATCTGCAAGGTGGAGAATAAGGGAATGCAGTAGCTGTGGTGCAGTCCAGGTCCATAGGCCAGAGAGCAGGGAAGGCGGTGGTGTGGCTCTCTTGAGTCTGCAGGGCCAAGAATGTGATGTGGTTGGGGGCTGGCTGGCCCAAGCCCTGGAGTCCACTGGCAGAAGAGCCTGGAGTTGTGACCTTCAGGGGAGAAGAGGCTGTCCCAGCCCTGAGAGAGAGGGAAACAATCCACCCTTCCTTTTTGTTCCATCCAAGGTGTGTGCACACATAGTCCTCTGACTCATATGCCAGTCTCCTCCATAAACATCCTCCCCATACAAGTGTGGGGCAGCTCAGTCAGTCTAATCAAAAACAAAATCAAGCCAGGGACAGCACTCCCAGCACTCTGGGAGGCTGAGGCAGGACTGTGAGTTCAAGCCCAATCTAGGCAACTTACCAAGACCCAGTCTATTTTTTTAAAAAGGGTTGGGCCGGGGATTTAGCTCAGTGGTTTCGCCGCCTGCTGCACAAGCACAAGGACCCAAGTTTGATCCTCAGTACCAAAAAAAGAGGGGGCGGTGCTGGGAGGGCTGGGGCTGTAGCTCAGTGGTGCTGTGCCTGGCTGGGAAGTTCAACATCCTAAGTTAGATTCCCAGTACCAAAAGAAAGGGGGCTGGATGTAGCTCAGTAAAAAGGTTCAATTTGTACCACAGGAAGGAGGGAGGGAAAGGACAGAAGAAAGGAAGAAAGGAGGGAGGGAGGGGGGAAAAATCACTCGTGTTTCCCTTATAGTATAAGAGGGACAGGCTCAGGGCCTACCGAAACATTGAGAACAAATAATGGTGCATGCTATCGTAATATCCTTTAATCTAGTTAAGTTGACACCCCAAATCAACCATCCTAAGAAAGAAAAAGAAAGCAGGGCATGGTGGCGCACGCCTGTAATCCCAGCACTTTGGAGGCTGAAGCAGGAGAATCGCAATAAGTTGGAGGGCAGCCTGGGCTACACAGTGAGTTCAAAGCCAGCCTGGACTACATAGCAAGACCTTGTCTCCCCCCCAAAAAAAGGAAAACATTCTTTTCTTTCTTATACTTCTCAGAATCAGGAACGTTGCTAATACCAACTGGAGCAAGTTTAGCAGTTTTGAAAACACTATTCGTGAAACCTTGTGGCCAAGATAGGGATTCATACGCTGTATAGGTGATACTGCAACAAGTGGACACCTAGCAGGCACACACTAGTACCCAGCTGCACTCATTTAGGGCTCCCTGTTGGCTTTTTAATGAATAGCTTAGATAAACCTGCTGATCACATTTGTAAATAGTACAATGTAGTTAATATTACATAACATGAAAAATTACTTAAGAACTGCACCAGGCAGTTGAGAGGCTAAGGGGAAGACTGCAAGCTGAAGGCCAGCCTGGGCAGTGTAGCAAGACCCCATCTCAGAAAACTGTAGAAAGCATTTAATAGGGTTAAACATAAATTCTCATGCTTAAGCTCCATGATCAAATGTACAAATGGAAAAGCCCTAGTTCAATAGTGTTTATATGAAAAATTATTTAAAAGCATCCAGAGTTATTATTGCACTTATAAGCCTGCTACCCTAGGGCAGATGAAGTGTTTGGTGGAAAACACAAAAATGTCAGTGCAGAAATTACAGGTGCACATCTGTAATCCCAGCACTAAAGAGGCTGAGGCAAAAGGGTCAGGAGTTCGGGGCCAACCTGGATTACATAGTGAGACCCTGTCTCAGAAAACAAAACGTGCACGCGCGTGTGTGTGTGTGTGTGTGTGTGTGTGTATCAAAGGAGAGACAGTTGAGAGGACCATTGTTCGGTCTAATGATACATGGCTTAAAGGTCCAATATTTGAGAGTATTTATAGAGGAAAGTTTAACCACTGTGTTCCAGAGCAATCATCAGAGGCTATAAGAAGCAGATTTCAGCTTGGAATAGGAAGAACTTTTCTAGTAATTTTGTGCCTCACAAAAAAGTAGTTCTCTGTAAATAACGACGTGGAGGTGAAGGCTAGAAACTCTCGGTATTAAATACAGCTTCTGCATCAGATGTGAGGGTGAGCCAGATGGCTTTCCAAGGTCTCTTATTTTTGTACATTTATTTATAACTACATCTTCCAAAGAGCACTGAAACCTTTGTGTATGGTCTTTTCTGACTCTGAGCACATAGTTTAGCAACTTTGGATGAAAAGGCTTGCTTTGTTTGTTTGTGACAAGGCCTTGCTGCGTAGGCCAAGCTGGCCTTGAGCTTGATATGTAGCAAAGGTTGGTCTCGAACTCCTGGTCCTTGGGCCTCAGCCCCCCGAGTGCTGAGGTGACTCATGCACCACCACTCCTGACTCCTGAAGTGGTCTTTTGTAGTTGATTTGAAAGTTATGCTGCGGTAGGGGGCTGGTTACAGATAACCTACAGATTGGACAAGCCAAAGCTGCAGCCACCTCCTAGTCATGGTTACTAAGTCACTAAGTTTGATTCCAGAGAATAGACTTTGAGTCATAAATTAGAATGACTACCGTTGTTAGGACAGTCTAACTATATTCATACTACATTATTTCTAGTCTAGTTCAAGGTAGACTAGAATTTGTTGTTGGGTTGCATCCCAACTAACGTTTTCTATTTCATATTAGTTAGTGAAGCCTACAGAGAAATGCTGACCATGGACAACCTTGATATTGACAATATGAGACACAAAATTCGAGATTATTCTTTATCAGGGGCCTACCGAAAGATCATTATTCGTCCTCAGAATGTCAGCTGGTGAGTATAGTCTAGGATGAAATAGAACTGAATTACTCTATGAGGCTTTCAGTTTTTGCTTTACGTATGTATTTCTCGGTGCTGAGAACCTAGCATCTAAGTATTTCATAAGTACTACTGTTCTCATTACTGTTATCACTGCTCTGTCAGTTGGTATTTCTCAACTCATCAAGTAATACATGAAGCTGTGTTGAATGCAATCATACAGGGAAAGTGACTTCATTTACATTTGTTAACATCACTAAATTTTTTTAATAACATTTATTGGTACATTTAGGCATACATGATAACACTCATCATGGGGAATTTGCACCTGTACATGATACCTCCCGCCTCTCTTTTCCCATTGCCCCTTCCCCTCCACCCCCCTACCCTCCCTGTGTACAAAAGCTTCGTTTCCATTTTTTCCTTCTATTTTCACTTTTTTTCTTGTCTCTTCCTTCCTTTCTTCCTCCCCACTCCCTTGTTCCCCTTCCCATTTGAACATTTTCTTCCCATTTCCCAATATCTATTATACATCTTAGTCCTTATTTCCACTTAGAGTTTCTCACACCAGAGAAGCAATGTGGTATTTAAACATAGTCGCTTAAGAATATGGTCTCAAGGTCCATCCATTGAACTATAAATGTCTGAAGCTCATCCTTCTTTATGGCAGAGTAGTACTCCATTGTATAAAAAGCCCACATCTTCTTTATCCATTCATTGGTTGAACATCGATAAATTATTGAAGAAATATGTAGAGAATGAACTTTTCCTCCTATTTCTAAAAAACTAAAATTTGCTAATAGAGCTATTCCTAAGCAAATTACTCAGAATTTGCTATGAATTCTAAATACTGATCTGGTTGTTCTAATATCATGTTTCTACAAAAGGATACTCATATTAATGCATTTTAAAATACTTTCATACTAGTATTATTAAAGCTTTAATTGATAATTTTAAAATGAAATCCTAAACTGGTTGCCTAGAACCAGGAAATTTTCTTTCCCTCTTTCCTTCTCACCTTCTCCCTTTCTTCTCTGACAGTGGGCATGAAGTTGCCGGAGTTGAGCTTTACCTTCCTCACTCAAGAACAGTTCCTCACTAGTAAAAGGGTTTTTGTGGGGTCATGACCACTCTAGAGAAAATGGAAATGATTAATTTGATCACATTTGTTCCAAGTGAGGTTTACTACTTAGCTTCATGTAAAAAGAATTTCCATCCTAGGGAAACATTTTCTATCATTTCCATAGGCCAGTGTCATCTGTCATCTTACTATTTACTAGTATAAAGGCCCTAGGAAGAGTTATATGTAAAATGTAGCCCTGCTCTGTTGTTAAGCGTCCCACCTATAATTATTTACAATAGACCTATATGTTTCCTTGGGAAACAAGTGGTGAAGAGAAAATGCCATTTATGAATGTTCACATTCATACTTTCTTTGTATGTTTTGAAGGGAAGTGGTTGTATATGATGACCCTAAAATTCCACTTTTCAACACTGATGTGGACAACCTAGAAGGGAAACCACCACCAGTATTTGCTTCTGGTAAGTTCACTCACTCTTCAGCTCTGTGTCAACTTTGAAATGTTTTCTCATATAAAAATCTAATGCCGGGCCGGGGATTTAGCTCAGTGGTTTCGCCGCCTGCTGCGCAAGCTCAAGGACCCGAGTTCCATCCCAGTACCAAAAAAAAAATGTAATGCTTTGGGCAAACTGCTCTTAGAGTCATCACCACCACCCACCCACTCTGTGATTTCTATTTCATGTTTTGTCACATTGGCTTCATGATCATGGTTGGAGGTGAGTCACTAAAACAGTCTCTCCCACTGAAGATGAACATTAGAAATGGTGTGATACTGGGTGATTGCATATTTCCTCCCTGTCCTCATACAGAGACCACAAGGAAGAGAGTCTAAAAACTGCTTTCTTGCTGTCAATTTCTTGTCATTCCTCTGTTTGTTTGTCTGTTTGTTTTAAAAAGTGGTATGGTTTTACATTTATTAAAAGTAGGAAAAGACATGCTCAGGCTAGGTGTGATAGCACACGCCTGTAATCCCAGCACTTGGGAGGCTAAGGCAGAAGGATCACTGTGAGTTCTAGGCTAGCCTGGGCTACATAGTAAGTTTAAGGCCAGCCTGAACTGCATAGCGAGACCCTGTCTCTAAAAAAAAACAAAACAAAAAAGAAGAAAGAAACATGCTCTGCAGAGTGAGTGGAGGCCAATTAAAAGTAGGAACAGAAGCAGACCACTGTGAAAGAGAACGTGTGGCCTTATTCCTTTTTGTTGTTGCTCTTTTGTGTCTGTTGGAGGGGACAGGTTTACTTTTTTTGAATTGATGTGCCTTTCTCCACTGTGGTCTTCTGTTGTCTGCCCCTGCGTGGAGGCTCCTGGGTAGAGTTGCTGTATCCTTCCGGCTGGTCCAGACACTCACAGATCTCTGACTCCCACAGTCCCCATCTCTGAGGCCCAGGGAATGGAAGCCTAAGGAGAGGACACAGCTCTGGGATTGTCTAGAGAGTCTGTGACTCTCTCCACTCTATGTGGCTGCCTTCATTTTCTGACTGTTGTCTTCTTTCCTGCCTGGCAGAAGGCAAATACAGGGCTCTGAAAATGGATTTTTCACTTCCTCCTTCTACTTATGCTACCATGGCCATCCGAGAAGTGCTAAAAATGGATACCAGCATCAAGAACCAGACACAGCTGAACACAACCTGGCTCCGCTGAGGAGTGCTTGCTTTATCTACATGCAGACAAGTTTTTGCTTCCTCCTAAGGCAGAGCACTCATATTTGGATTTTGAATCTTTATAGTAAAGGATTATTTGTATTTTTTTTTAAGTTTTTATTAGCTTAAGGAAATAATTTGCAATGTTTGTACATATACACAAATTTTGAGGATCCTAATTTTAGCTCAGAAAATATAAATTGGTCAGAATGTACTTTAGGTGCTTAAATCATAGTCAGATATAGTTTTATGGGCTTTATAATAAAAATGGACTTTAGTATGAAAGTATCAAATAGCAGTTTTAGGTTGTGCTGCATATCTGAAGGACAACAAGAATTTGTCTCCACCCCACCTCCCACCAGTACTGGGGATCAAACTCAGGACCTCATGCTTGCAAGGTAGGCCCTGGTGCCATTGAGCTAAATCCCTGCCCCCTAACAACAGGAATTCTTTTTTTTTTTTGGATTTACAATTTTAGGTTCTTTATTATCTAAAGTCAACAGGGAAGATACAAAAGCTGTTTTAATTACCAGTCAAGTACTCTAGGGCTCTGGAAAGTTTGGGTCCTTTTTGCTAAGCTGCCAGATGACTGAAGCAGTCGATTAGTTGGCTGTGTTTTATGTCCCGGCTTAACATTTTCGTGGCTGCTGAATAATCTAGATCCTTTTCAGTGGAGCGACCTTCTCCAGAGCAGGTGTGGGTTTTTGATGTGCCATGTGCACTGTTGCTGGAAATTTATGGTTGAGCTTGTCCTGTGTGTCGTTCAGGGCATCCAGTGTCTGTATTTTTGCAACATTTACAATGGCACTTGTTTTCTCTAATCCTATTTTCTTAGCTTGTTTCTCCAAGATGCCAGTTTCTTGTTTTTTGGAAATTCGCATTCCTCCAGCTTTTATTTTTAAAGATCTAAACTTTTTTTTTTTTTTGGTATGGGGATAGAACTCGGGTCCTTGCGCTTGCTCAGCAGGTGGCAAAACCGCTGAGCTAAATCTCTGGCCCTTAACAACAGGAATTCTTAATACATCATGAATGGAGTACACAGCAAGCATTGTAAGAGCAAATACAACAAAACAAATCCTGATTATGGATAAATAATTTGAGAGTCCCCAGTTACAAATATAGTACTCATGCTGATTCAAATGATAATAAAATATCTACACAGGTTTATAAATACAAAAGTGATTGTTACCTGGGTGTGGTGATGCATGCCTATAATCCCAGCACTCTGGGAGGCTGAGGCATGAGGGTCACAAATTCAAGCCCAGCTTGGGTAGCTTGGTGACTTACTGAGACTCTATCTCAAAATAAAAACTAGAAAGAGCTGGGGATTTAGCTCAGTGGTTCCTCCACCTGCCTGGCAAGCGCAAGGTCCCGAGTTCAATCCCCAGTACCAAAAAAAAAAAAAAAAAAAAGATCAGGAGACAAAACTTTAAAAAGAGCTGAGATGTAGTTCAGTGTGAAGGCCCTAGAGTTCAGTCTGCAGTATCATCATCCGGAAAAAGTGATAGTGGGCTGAGGCTGTAGCTCAGCGGCACAGTGCCTGCCTGGCAAGTACAAGGTCCTGAGTTCGATCTCTAGTACTAAAAAAAGGATGATAGTCATTATGCAATTCATGTACCAGATTCAGGTAACCATTTATATGCTGTTTAGTTTGCAGTTGCTTTTGCATTTTTATCATCAATGCCTTGCAGGAGAGCTACACTGATAGGGCCTCTTTTCTTCATGTAAACATGTAGCTATCGGAAGGACCGGAGTTTGATCCCTGGTACCAAAAAAGTAAATAAATAAATAAACATGTAGCTATTTTTATTGCTTAAGGTCTAATTTACTCTAGGTGCCTTTTATGTTTAGAACTGTTTCCACGGAACTGGTATTTGCCCTGAAATAAATAGTGGCAGAGAAGAAGACTTTAAAATATACCAGGGTTCCTGTGTCAGCAGCATGAACCCTCTGTCACCCACTGCTTAGGTGTCCATCAGTATCACATACAAAGTCTCTGGTGTGAAAGCATAAATCTGCCTTCTAAAGTTGCGTGAGCTAACTACTGATTTTTATTCTCTATCATTTCTAAAACCAAATGTAATAAATATTTTTAAACCCTGCTTTCTATTGATAATGTAAATAAATAAATTCTGAAACTTAAGTGTAAATGAGTCTTGTCCATGACCAAAGGGAAGAGGCCAAGTGCATGAAGGATCCTCAGAAATGACGCTGGCACAAGTGTGTGGTGATCTTGTGTACGGGCTGAGAATGGCAGAGAAGAACATCAGACAGCATGGCCGGCTGCCTCCAGCTGGGCTCAGCTCTCTTCCCACAGCTCAGCCCCCTCCAGTGTACTTGCGGACTGGTAATGAAAGGAATGAGCAGCACTCTGTGGAGGTGAATGACATTTGTCCTGCATCTGACAGCAGACGTAAGAGTGAGAACATGATTCCTCTACCCTTTTCCTCTGAGGACCCTACCACACAGCTGCGGTGAAGAAAGGACTGAAAATATCATGACAGATTATTCTTAGCTGGCCTAAAAACCAAACTTATTACATGTATAGTGGCCTGGTCTGTACTATCCAGTCATAGCCAGTTCTTCTCTTCATCAGATTGATTAATGAAAATTATTATCCAGGACTTAAGTCTTTCTATTGCAAGTGTATTCTGCGGTTCTGCATTTATAAATTTACATTTTATAAAAAGTGAGGCTGAACTTAAGTTTTTTTCAACTGGGAGATATGGTACCTTGTGATGAATTCATTTTCCTGGCTGCATTAGCCAGTTGCCAGTCTATGCATGTCTCTTCCCATGCCCCTGCCCCTGCCCAGTACTGGGAATTGAAACCAGGGAGCACTGATCTACACCCCATTCCCCCCATCCCCTTTTTAAAATCTTGATACAGGTTCTCATTAAGTTGTCCGGGTTGGCCTCAAATTTGTGACCCTCCTACCTCAGCCTTCCATGTGGCAGGAATTACTGACATGCACAACTGTGCCTGGCTTCATATCTCTTCTCTTTTTTCTTTTTTTCTTCATATCTCCTTAAACAGCACTGAGGGCCGGGACTCAGTGGCTCAGTGATGCTGTGCCTACCTCACAGGCACAAGGTCCTGAGTTCAATCCCTAGTACCAAAAAAAACACCAATGGAAAAACAATGATTCAAGGTGAAGTCTTCCAGCTACTTTGAGAACATACTGTCTAACTCTAGGGACTTAGAGTAGAATATAACTCATCACCTTAGGATAGAAATCACATTTTTCATTGTGGTTTGTTTTGGTTTGGTTTTGGCTTTTTCTGACAGGGTCTTATATATATGTGCTGCTGAAGTGAGCATACAGTGATTCTCCTGCCTCTGCCTCCCATATGCTGAGATTGCACCCTGCTAGGACATTTTCATTGTTAACATGTTTCTCTCAGACACATTTATAAAACTGGAAGATAACCTCATCCTCAGTATAGAAGTATTTTTAAAAATTTTGCCTTAAAGAATTATTTTAGTATGATGTAAAACCAGCATTTTTAATAACAGAAAAATAAGGCAGATTATCAAGACCATGCTATGAAATGCTTATATTCATGGTTTTCTGTTGTAGATAATAACTAGACAGCCATTACACTAACAAAACCTGGTTGGTCCTGGAATCTTCATGGTTTACATGTTTTAAATAATAGCCGGATAACCATTACACTGGCTTTTTTAAATTTGTAGCCTTGGGCTGGGGATTTAGCTCAGTGGTTCCACCGCCTGCCTCGAAAGCAGAAGGACCTGAGTTCGATCCCTGGTACCAAAAATAAATAAATAAATAAAAATAAAATAAAATTGTAGCCTGGCATGATTGCACACACCTGTAGTCTCAGGAGGCAGACTCAGGAAGATCACATGAACCCAGTTCAAGGCCAACCCAGGTAATATAGTAAGACCCTAATCTTTAAAAAATTAAAAGTTCCTGGTTGAGCCAGGGATTTAGCTCAGTGGTTCCGCCACCTGCCTCGCAAGCGCAAGGTCCTGAGTTTGATCCCCAGTACCAAAAAGAAAAGTTTCTGGTTGATTGCTGAATCACAAAATACTAGTAGTAGCCACAGTGATACATCAGTAGTTGGAACTTCACCAGTTGTTTTACCCAATAGAGGTTAGTACAAACTGGGTCTTGCCCTAGAATACATTTTGTGGCCATTTTGCACTGACTAGAAGGGGAAGGGGGAGTGCAAAAGTATATTCAAATGGTTTTAGTTACCAGCTGATGCTCCTGTATATATGCTTTTTGGGAACAAAAACACTGGACAATGAATCATTTTTTTGTTTCAGACAGAAGTAAAAGTCCAGTGGAAGAATTAAAAAGCTGTCTGGCCAGGTTCTGGCCTTCGTAGGTTGAGAAGCTTTTGCTTGCATAGCAAAGAACAAGGCTTTTCTTTGGTGAAATCTGCTTTCCCACTTTGTGGGGCTGCCTTCCAAGAGCATGGAACATCTTGATGGTGGACGTGAACACTTTGGAAAATCTTAGCGAAGAGGATAGACACTGTCTCCAGAGAAGAAAAAGGGAAGACTGTATGCACACATGCACACAATTACAGACTTGCAATTTTAGGAGCCTCGGTATATTCAGGGAAGATCCTCCCCCCAGATGGTGCTTTCCAAACTTGTGCCAGTGGGTTAGCATTGAAGTGCAGGATGTGCTGCCAGAAATGGAAGAGGATCTCTGACCCTCCCTAGAGGGGTCAGCTGCTCTAGGTCTGTGCTTGCTTTCAGGGGCAAGGTAGTCTGCTGGCCACGTGAGGCCAGCCTGGAGTTCCCAGAATGAACTGAAAGATTCAGCTCCACTCAGCAGCCACATTTCAACTGCTGCACAACCACACATGTGCTAGTTGCTCTGTCATGGATAGCATTGGCCTGGTTGACAAGTGATTCATCCAACGTACAGAGGAGAGTCCACACCCATCGCGTGTGACCAACAGTGATGCAGTAACTACATGTGCACTATATGCAAGCAGCTTAAGTTGTAATTAGATCAAGGGCTCACACTGATTCAGAATTCCACACTTGAAATAGATCCCTCTTTATGAGTCTTCATAGTTTTTTTTTGGTGCTGGGAATCTAATACAGTGCCTCACACATGCTAGGCAAGCGCTCTACCAATGAGCTACGACCATCCCAGCATTCTTCCTAAAACCACTTCCATGCTTTTTCTGGCTTTCTCAGGGATCACCTATAGTTCTTTTTTGTTTTGTACCGGGGATCGAACTTGGAACCTTGCATTTGCAAGGCAGCCGGCAGGAACCACTGAGCTAAATCCCCTGCCCTTATAGTTCTTTCTTTTTACCCTTCCTTTCAATTCAGTG